GGTCCTCCCACCGCCAGGGGTAGCTCTGAGGTCCTCCCACCGCCAGGGGTAACCACTGCGGTCCTCCCTCCGCCAGGGGTAGCTCTGAGGTCCTCCACCACCGGGGAAACGGGGTCCTGCCACAGCAGCGCTCCCTTCAGGTCGTGATTGGTATTGACTCATAAAGTCTGTTTTAATATCTCACCTCCTGCATTCTCATAGAATCCCCATGGAGGCCACTGGGCCCATCGAGTCTGCACTGACTCTCTGAAGAGCATCCCACCCAAACCCACTCCCTACCTTATCCTAGTCCTGTAACCCTGCATTTCCCATGGCTAACCCACCCAGCCTGCATTCCTGGACACTATGGGACAATTTAGCATGGCCAATGCACCCTAACCTGCTCATCTTTGGACAGTGAGAGGAAACCCACGCAGACACAGAGAGAATGTGCAAACACCACACAGACAGTCACACAAGGCTAGCATCGAACCCAGGTCCCTGGTGCTGTGAGGTAGTAGTGCTAACCACTGAGCTACCCCACTCTGCTTGTAACCTTTCAAGTAAAAAGAAATGCAAAATCTGCAACAAAAGCGTTGGGGCGAAGTTAGCATATTGACAGTAACTATCTGTGAACAATTAAAATACTAAGGTTATTCAAATTTGAGAGTATCAGAGGCAGGAAAGTGGAGTTGAGGATTAAAGTCTACTTCCTGCTTGCACATCTTATGGTCTATATAAGGCAGATAACATTTAATGTGAAGTGACACTTCTTGTAGAGAAGAAAATGGAGAAAATATAAACTAAACTCCAGAGGGAATGAGGGGACAGAGCGTCTTTGTGCGTAAATGCTTGAAGGTGGCAGAACCGGTTGAGAGAGCAGTTAATGAACCATACAGTATTCTAGGGTTTATTGATAGGGGCTTAGAGTGCCAGAGGAGGAAGGTTCTGCCGAATTTTTCCCACACACAAGGTAGATCTCAGCTGGAGTACCGTGTCGAGGGCTGGGTGCCGCACTTTATAAAGGATGTGAAAGAATTGGAGAAAATGTATGAGTGTAGGAGGTTGGAGTATATGCCAAGTGCCCATCCGTTAACTCCATCTACACTTCTTACTGCCTCAGAAAGGCAGCCAGCATAATCAAAGACCCCTCCCACCCCAGTTATAATTGTTTCCAACCTCTTCCGTCAGGCGGAAGATACAAAAGCTTAAACACATGGACCCAAAGATTCGAGAACAGATTCTTCCCCACTGTAGAGACAGTAAGGACTGCAAATGCTGGAAACCAGAGTCAATTAATGTGGAGCTGGATAGGCACAACAGGGTCGGACAGCATCCGAGGAGCAGGGAAGTCAATGATTCGGGCTGAAACCCTTTGTCCAGACTGGGGAGGGGTTTGGGACTGAGGGTCTTCTGAATGGACCTCCCAAATTTTAAATTTAACGTTCACGTTGCTCTTTGTGCATCTGCTCTGCTGCCATAATATTGTATTCCTTGCTCTGTTCCATCACTTTATATATGATCTGCTTGTACCACATGCAGAACAAAACTTTTCACTGTACCTAAGTACATGTGACAGTAATATGTCAAATTAAAAGATTTATCCCAGTGGTTTCAAGGATGAGGAATTTTAATCATGAACATAGATTGGAGAAGTTGGAGCAGTTTGTCTTGGAGATGGCAGAAATGGAATTTGATGGAATGATTCAAAATTACGAGGGGTCTGGACAGAGTAGACAGGGAAGAAAATGCCCCCACCCTCAAAAGTTTATTTAGAAGGTGTGGTTAGTAAGTTTGCAGGTGACACCAAAATTGATATTATAATGAACAGTTAAGAAGATTATCTAGGATTACAAAGAGATCTTGACCAATTGGATCAATGACTGATGAGTAGCAGATGGAGTTTAATTTGGATAAATGCAAGATATTTTGGTAAAACATGCAAGGGTAGGACTTGTACAATTAATGGTAGGGCCCTGGGTAGAGGTTTTGAACAGAAAGACCTAGGGGTTCAGGTACATAATTGTTTCAAAGTTGCATCACAAGTAGGCAGGGTGCTTGAGAAGGCATTTAGCATGTTTTCCTTCATTGTTCAGGTCATTTGAGTAAAGCAGTTGGGTGTCATGTTGAGGTTGTACAGGATGTTGGTGAGGCCTCTTCTGGAGCACTGTGTCTGGTTCTGATCACCCTGCTATAGGAAGGATATTATTAAATTGGAGAGGGGTCAGAACAGATTTACTAGGATGTTGCCGGGACTGGAGAGTTTGAGTAATGGAAATTGGCTGGACCATAGGAGGCTGCAAGGTCACCTTGCAGAGGTTTGTAAGATCATGAGGACCATGGATAGGGTGAATGGCCAAGGTCTTTTCCCAAGGGTGGAGGAGTCCAAAACCAGACGGCATAGGTTTAAGGTGGAGGGGAAAGATTTAAAAGGGACCTGAGGAGCAACTTTTTCCACACAGAGGGTGGTTTGTATGTGGTATGAACTACCAGAGGAAGTGGTAGATGCAGGTACAATTACAATATTAAAAAGACATTTGGATAGGAAAGGTTTAGAGGGATATGGGCCAAACATAGGCAAGTAAGACTAGTTTAGTCTGGGAAACTTGGTCAGCATGGATGGGTTGGGTTGAAGGGTCTGTTTCCATGCTGTTTAGATCTGTGACCTCTCACTCTCAAAGTAATTAACAAAAATAAAAGTGATGCAAGAAAAAAAATTTTCATGCACTGAGTGGTTAGAGTCTGGGGAGACAGTTTCAATTGAGGCAATGAAAAAGGGAATCAGATGGATATTTGAAAAGGAACAATTTGCAGGGTTATGGGATAAAAGCCTGGAAAACAGCAGTGAGCTGCCAGGCAGAACAGAACAAATAGTCTCCTCCTGCACAGTAACAATTCTCAAAGATTCTGTGACCAACGCTCGTATTCTTGTATCAACCTTTGAAATATTATCACCTTCTTATTGGCCATTAATTCTTTAGACTTTTCAAAGAGCCAGTGGGTCAAATAGCTGGGGCTGCAGAAACAGGAGTGCAGTGCCATTAGGCCCAAGTAACATGTCTCAGTGGAGTGGCTTGTATGTATCTATGTAAACACATCAGTGTAACCACACACTCCAGGGGGCTGCTGCGCCACAGTGTCAGCCCATCTTCCAGATTGCCATCAGCAGAACCCCGGAGCACTAAATTGACAAACTGATCTGAGCAGGAGAGCTCCCGAATCAGAAAACTTGGGACAGCTTGTAAGGAGAGATACACTTTTATTGCTGTTAAAAGACAGGAGTTTGAAAAACAATGAGCCAAAATTCAATTTCTCAGGGTACAAAAGCTCAAATTCACTAACTTAAAACGAAAACCAAATTAGTCACCAACCTGTAACCAGGGTAGGATTGTAGTTTTTTTTTTAAAAGATGGGTAGTTATTCCTAGTGTGTATCAGTGAGACAATGGTCTCTGTGCGATGGGCAGCTTTACACCTGCATTTACGTTAACCGAATGTTGAGTGTACCACAACTTCCATTGCTTGCTGTGCGTCAGTGACAGCCCCAAGAGGATTCGACGACATTTTTCCTCCCAAGTTTCACCATGTGGGGAGGAGAGGGGAGAGTGGAGGTCCCACCTTCTCCCTTGTGCCTTGCAGCATGCTCAGAGCCAGTCTCAGGCCTTCCTAAAACCTCCCACACAAAGAGAAAGGAAAGGGAGCTTTGATGGTCTCCTGACCAGTAACAGCAGGAAGGTGTGAGTATATCCCAGCCCCACAGTAACACAGAAAGGCTGAGAGCATACGGAGATTTCTAAACACCACCCTTGTCAGCTGCTCGACAAGGGGCTAAGTCAGACACAGCAAGGTGTGGCTTTGCTCCGAGACACAGCTGAAGCAGTGACCCAGGCATCAGTGGATCCACAGATGGTACTGTTCACAATTCCCCAATCTGGGGAATTTCCAGAAAGGCCTGAAGTCCTTTGGTGGTACATGAAAAACACAACAAGATGAAAAAGCCCAGACACTATGACTGCAAAGGCTTTGGTTTGAGTCAGAGCTGGTTCCTGAGTCAGGGACAGACAAGTTGCCATGGCCCCTGCCCAGGAATGACATTGACAGTCCCCCTGAGCAGCAGCAAACAGCTCTGTTTTGATGGGCTACGGCAGTGAGTCACACTCACTGGTCTCTCTCAGTGGCAGCAGGAACTTGCAGCTCAATAGTCCAGGCCAAAACAATTGTGTTGGATGTCCCCTCATTCTCCAATAGGGATGGGGTGGGGATATGGAATGATAGCTGCCTGGTCAGAATCAAACAGATATGAGGGGGGGAAGAAGTGCGGAAATTGAACCCAACAGAGAGTGTGGTATGGCGTACTGGTATATTAGAGGTGTTAGCATGTATTGTGGCACAGAACCAGGTTACAGCAGAGTTATATTCTGCAATCAGTTTTGAAACATCCTACACCAGACAGCCAGAAATGAAAAGATTTACACTCATTTCAGAGCATTTTAACCAATTAAATCACTGGTTCAACAGTTCATAGTAACTACTGACAGACAGAGTTAGATACAGAGTAAAGCTTTCTCTATGCTGTTCCCCGCCCCCCCCATCAAACACTCCCAGGACAGGGACAGCACCAGGTTAAGTGGAGGAAAGCTCCCTCTACAGCATCCTTAACAAGGACACAAAGTATTACTTCCAGACCAGTGGGTGTTTATTGCTGTCCTGAGTCAGCCTTTTGGGGGTAACATACCCAGTGTCCTGATCAGTCAGTCTGACCAAGTCCACTGGTCACTGCAGAGTGGAATGAGCTCATTCCAACCAGGAGATCAGATTGAAGACTCCAATTAGGCCCCTGGAATGTGTAGAGTCACTTGGAGGTGGGGTTTAAATCTGGTTGGATAGCTCGCATCAGATTCAAGGTCAATGCAATGGAAAGGACAGGGCTGGGTAAGGGACAAAAAAAACAAAAAAAAACAGACCTACATTTAGGGGCATCTCAAAGCTGCTTAACTGGAGAGTAAAATGGTGCATTTATAAAGAATTAGCACACATTATCCTCTGGAACGGGTCCAGATTTGCTCCACAAAAGAGGAAGCGCAGTGACTGCCCTGCTTGGCAGGCCAGGGTGACAGCACTAGCCTCTGATCTACAGGGGTCTCCTATTTACATTATGACAGTGTGCTGTCATATCCTGTGGCTTGTTCCCCTGTGATCCGCAAGGACACCGCAAGTGTTACCAGTAGAACAGAACAGAGTGTAAACCACCTGATCGTACCTGGAAGGTAGAGACAGGTCTCATTGCTTCAACGTTGGTCCAGCATATCTCATCAAAAGGACGTTAAAAAAGTGTAAAAGAGATTGATTGACTAAAGATCAGAGGAGTGCACAGGTTGGGGGAGGGTTTGCAGTCCACGGCCAGAGTCCAAAGACAAACCAGGACTGCTGAGACCAAAGGACAAAGTTCCAACACTATCTGCAATTTCTAAAGCTCCTTTGAGCAGATATGCAGAGGCGATGCTAGTGAGGGAGGCCAAGCAGTTCTCTAAATGGGCAGCTGGTCCGTGGAAGCAGACCTCGAACAGCTGGAATGTGTACTGCTGCATACCTGGAACACTGTTCAGATTTGCCAGTGAGGCACTCAGAGGAATTCATGTTGCTTTGATTCTCTATAATTTATAGAATATATTTTACACTTTATATAATGCCGTCTACAGTGTGCACCCGCATTGGTTATTGCTGTGAAATACTGATTTAAGGGTGCAGGCTTTTCGGTATCGGCAACTTGTAAGACGAAAGAGTTTTCACAGTGCAGTCCAAGAGAGGGTCAGGAGTTGGTCAGAGTCCAAGAAACAAAATAACCGTGGCCGAGGAGAGAACCGTTAGCGCTGACTGGACTGTCCTTCAAGCTCCCATCCTGATGCTCTGAATAATCTGGAAAATGGCTGGAAAAAGAGAGGGGGGAGGTGGGGGAGGAAAACAGACGCACGTTAGGAAGATAGAAAACTAATCAGCATCAGCTCTGAACCAGCAATGGCCCAAAATGCACACTTTTCAGACAGATCAGTCAATGCACTGATGGAGGACAGTCAAAGAACCAGTATGGAGTGGCTTAGCCCTCTTTGGGCTCTATCCTATTGGCTCAGGGGCCTAGGCTGTCATAAGCCCCTGACAGATCAGGTACCGACCTTCCTTCATCACCAGCTACTGTACTTGTGTGGCTAATGTGAGGAAATGTGAGCCTGCCTCTGTTTAGGATGGAGGGTATTGAGTTCATTGTGCTCCATGGTATTTAGCAAGTTAAGGGGCCATTTTCTCACATGTTTAATGGGAATTGTGGGCAGTTCATCTTTCAGCCTGCTTCACCACCCAATCTCACCCAGATAGGGAGCTCCAAAAACTCAGGCCTTTAAACAGATTATTCCTCCTCTTAGGTGGCTCAGTGGTTAGCACTGCTGCCTCACAGCGGCAGGGACCCAGGTTCAATTCCACCCTCTGGTGACTGTCTGTGGGGGTTTCCTCCCACAGTCCAAAGATGTGCAGGCTAGCTGGACTGGCCATGGGAAATTGCCCCCATAGTATCCAGGGAGGCGCAGGCTAGGCAGGATAGCCATTGGAAATGCAGGGTTACAGGGATGGGGGAAGAGAGACTGGGTGGGATGCTCTTTGGAGGGTCAGTGTGGACTCATTGGGCCAACTGGCCTGTTTCCACACTGTGGAGATTCTATGATCTTGGTCAAAATGGCCAATTATTTATCCCAAGACTGTCCCTGTGGTTGGGACCCTGCAGCCTCTCAGCATCTGCCCTTCCAAGTCCTTAGAGAACATTACTTGGCCACTCTAAACTCCAGAGAAAGTAAACCTATGCTACTCAAGCTCCACACATCTCAGCCCAAGGTGTATGAACTTCTAAGATTATATGAAGAGAATTCAGAATAGATTTACCAGGAATGGAGGGTTTGAATTTTAGGGGTTAGATAGGCCAGGAGGTTTTTCCCTGGAGCGTAGGAGGGCTAGGGGTGCCCTTATAGAGGTTTATAAAATCTCACAGGGTATAGAAAAGGTGAATAGCAAAGGGTCTTTTCCCTAGGGCAGGGGAGTTCAATACTAGGGGCATTTTTTAGGCTGAGAAGAAAAAGATTTAAGACATGAAGGGCAACTTTTTTTTTTTTTTTTTTTTGCACAGAGTGGCTCGTGTGTGGAATGAACATCTAGAGGAAGTGGTGGATGCTGGTACAGTTACAACATTTAAAAGACATTTGGACAAGTACAGGAATAGGTAAGGTTTGGAGGGATATGGGCCAAATGCAGGCAGGTGGGGCCAGTTTCATTTGGAACATGGCCAGCTTGGACCGATGGGTCTGTTTTTGTACTGTATGGCTCTATTCGTATGCCCTTCTCTACAGAGACAGGGAACAAAACTGTGTGGCACTCCAAGTATGGTCTCACTAATGCCCTTTAAAATTGCTCCAGGACTCCCTTGCTTGAGCACCCCAAACACCTTTGTAATACAGACAGATTCATACACGAGTATAGAACAGAAGCTGACCATTCAGCCCATCATGTTAGCACCAGCCAATAAAGATGTGACCATACTAATCCCATTTTCCAGCAATAAGATCAATCCACTATTTGCTTCAGAAGCTTCTTGCTGAAACATTCCTGCAGTTCAGGTTTGAGAACGAGGGGTCATGGCCTGTTAAATTACAGCCAGGTGTTCCAGCAGTGACATTAAGTGCCGTTTCTTCACTGTAGGTTATTCAAAGTTTGGAACCCTTCCACAGTGATTGAGGCGACATCACTGATTGATTTAAAATCAGAGATTGATGGAATCTTGTTATCCAAAGGGATTCAGGATAAAGGAAAGTGGATATGGGGAGGAGTATGTGTACGTGGAATTAGATCACACATCATGATGTGATTAAATGACACAACAGGCACAAAGTCTAATGGTTTCTTCCTGGTCCCAGTGATCACTAATAAATTCAAAACACCTCACTAAAACTCCAACACTCAGGGTTGATGACTGACACCTGGGTTTCATCTCCAGGTCATTGGTGAGATATTGGCCAACAACACTAATTTCAATGGTGCCAAATTTTTCCAACAGCACCTTCCAAACCCACGACCACTTCCATTTAGAAGGACAAGGGCAGCAGATACATGGTAACACCACCCCCCACCCCTGCAAGTTCTCTGAGACACGCACCATCCTGACTTAGGAATGTATCTGCATTCCTTCAGTGTCACTGGGTCAAAATCCAGGAATTCCCTCTGAGGCATTGTGGGTCAACCCACAGCACATGGACTGCAGCAGTTCAAGAAGGCAGCTCACCCCTATCTTCTCAAGGGGCAACTAGGGCCAGGTAATAAATGCTAGCCAGCAATAACAGTGACATCCTACAAATTAATTTTAAATATAGTTACTGTGATGGGCATTAAATTGTCAGTGTTATCTGATGGCATGTTTAAAACAGAATTGGAAAAGTAACATAAGGGAATCAGTTTACAAAACAACAGATGTAGTAGGGAAGTGGCATTTAAGAAAATGTACCAACACAGACAGGAAGGGCTGAATGACCACCTTCTGCTATAACTTTAACAAATGCTGACAGACACGAAATAGGTGCAAAATGAAGACTCACCTGATCCACACACCACAAATACAAACAACGCCAGCAACCAGGGGGCTACTGGAGCCCTCTCCTCCTGAAGGGGCCTCTGGAAAGCAAGAGAGAGAATGAATAGGGTCTGTACTGCACACTTGACCAAGGCCCATCACGACACACACAGGGACACAGCACAGCAGTCACTCAAATCTCAGAAACCAATGCCATCCCACATCGTCCAGTGCACCAGCAGCAAATGTAAACTGCTGCAAGGGAACTTGTTGCCATCAAGAACAAAACTGATGGGGAAGGGAATAGGGAAGGAGATGGTGAGGGCAGTACTTGTGAAGTAGTTCTCCAGTGCAATCCTGAACCAGGATGTGCAAAGACCCAGCCTTGTTGGACCTCCAACTTGGTGTGTCCTGACAGGTCCCTGACACACAAACAGGGACTTGTAAAAGTGCCACCGTTTTCGGGACAAGAAGATCCCACATGCCATTACTTCACAACGACCAGGACAAGCAACTTTCAGTGACGTTACAGGATGGGAAATGGGCAGAGGCAGAACACCTCAGCTTTTCCAGGCTGAGTGAAAACCAGGAAAGGGGCAGGAACTGCTTTGTTACCAAACCAAAACAAAAATAGTAGGGACTTTTAAATCAGTGCATTGAGTATAGGAGTTGGGATGTCGTGTTGTGGCTGTACAGGACATTGGTTAGACCACTTTTGGGATAATGCGTTCAATTTTGGTCTCCCTACCATAGGAAGGATATTGTTAAACTTGAAAGGGTTCAGAATAAATTTACAAGGATCTTGCTGGGGTTGGAGGGTTTGAGCCATACAGAGAGAATAAATAGGTTGGGTCTATTTTCCTTGGAACATCAGAGGCTGAGGGGTGACCTTATAGAGGTTTATAAAATCATGAGGGGCATGGATAGGGTGAGTAGACAAGGTCTTTTCCCCCCAGGGTAGGGGAGTCCAAAACTAGAGGGGGCATAGGTTTAAGGTGAGGGAGAAGGATTTAAAAGGGGCAACTTTTTCACGCAGAGGGTGGTGCGTGTATGGAATGAGCTGCCAGAGGAAGTGGTGGAGGCTGGTACAATTACAACATTTAAAAGGCATCTGGATGGGGACATGAATAGGAAGGGTTTAGAGGGAAATGGGCCAAATGCTGGCAAATGGGACTAGATTTATTTAGAATATCTGGTTAGCATGGAGGAGTTGGGCCGAAGGGTCTGTTTCCATGCTGTACATTTCAATGACTCTAAGTAAATAACTCTAGATGCTGGTAGTACTGTAGGAGTGCAGCACTGTCGGTGGTCGGTTGCTGAGGTGGCAGTAGGACAAAACCCCACCCCCTCCGTTGGAACCCGCCTCCAGCAAATCTCTATTGGCGTAAATCAGGGAGACAGAGCTGACTGACGCGCGCCCCTGCTAATGGGACGCCGGTCGCCTCACGTCGATTGGACAGCGCCGCTGTCAATCAGCGTGCAGACATCATCACGTGTCCATGTCAGCAGCAGCCACGTAAACAACCGTCAGTCCGCTCGAGGTAGCGGCGGGGACAGCGAGAGGGGAGCTTCAGCTCTCCGTTACCCGGTACTCACGGTGCTCCGAGCTACGTTGCCCCGCTGGGTGATGTTTTTACTGTGCTTCTCGTTGGCCATGCGGATCCGTTGTTTAGCCACCATCTTCGCCTCGGGCTTTTCTCCTGACTGCTACCGAACGACGACCTGAAGTAGAGAGCGGGAGGCGGGTACCGGAACCGGAAATATCACCATGTACTCCGCCCACTTTGGAACTTTGCGATCCGATTGAATAGACACCTGCCCTTCAAACATAATCCCAGCCTTTTCGAACGGGTACCATTCGGATTGGTGAATATCCTGTCCATCAAATCTAGCGCCGGCCCTCCGCTGTAGAGAAGGTTTTGATTGGACAGGTGTCCTGCCATGATTTGTACGTCCCTCCTTCCCGTGTGGCTATCCCGATTGGTGAACATCCTATCCATCAAAGCTAGTGCCCGCCTTTCATTAAATGAAAGGCTGTCATTGGGCAGGCCCCCGGCCATGGATTGTACGTCCTGCCCTTCCCGCGGGGGGCCATCCTGATTGGCAGAGAACCTGTTTATCAAATATTCGTTCCACCCCGGCCGTTGCGATTGGTCGTTTGTCCGTTCGTCAGAGCCAGAGCCCGCCTTTGACCGCAAAGCACAGGCTCTCATTGGTCCTTGTACTTCCCCTGAAGCCGCGCTGGCATGGCCCGGAGTCCGAGGAGGCCATTCAGCCCGAGCCCATCATTCTTGTGCAAACCAATTGACCTGTTCTTAGATGTTATGACACGCTTTTGGAGCAAGTGGGACTGGAATCTTGTCCAGAGAGAGGGATATTACCACCACGATGGGTTAGTAGCCCATTGCCTTAACTTGACAGGCAACTGGGCCCCTGAATGACAAAGCACTAATGCAACAGGCAGTGCTGGGATCTGAAAAATAACTCCATAGCATCGACCCGCATGGTTCACATCTGATCCAACATAAACCCTAACTTCTCTTTCATGTCAGCTTCTCATAGCCTTGAATTCCCTGGTAGCTCAAAAAAATCTACCTGCTTCCACCTTAAATACTAGCCTCCACAACTCTGGAGTAGGGAAACCTGGACATTAACTACCCTCTGGTATAAAGCGGGGTTACGGGGAGAGGATGGAGTACTGGGTCTGGATGGGATGCCCTTTGGAGTGTCAGTGATGGGCCAAATAGCCTCCATTTGGACTGTAGGGATTCTATTCTAGAATAAATCCCTTCCCTTCTCAGTTCTCCAACTCTCCTGTATCTATGTTCCCTCGTTTAAGCTCCCCCCACCATATTGCAGACACCTTCTCAGCATATTCTCTGTCAAGCCCCCCAGAATCATGTATGATTCCATAAGCTCACCACTGATCCTAAACTCGAATGGATAAAAACTATCCTGTTAACTGTTCTTGATAAGTCAACCCCTTCATCGCAATCTCTTTTGAACAGCCCCTAGTACATTCTTTCTTAAATACAGGGACCAAAACTCTGCACAGTCCTCCAGGTATGGTCTCAGCAACCCCCTGCACTGTTGTAACAAAGACGTCCCTCTTATTAAACTCTAAACCCCTTGCAGTAAAGACCATTTGCCTTCTGAATTATTTGCTTTACCTAAATGCTAACTTATTGTGTTTCATGCTCAAGAACACCCAGATCCCTCTACGCTGCAGCTTTTTAGTGTCTGTTTCCACTGAAATAATAGTCTGCCTTTTGATTTTCCTTACCAAAGTGCATAACCTCACACTTTCCTATATTAAACTCCATCTGCCAAGTTTTTGCCTACTCGCTGAACCCATCTATATTCCCTCGTAGATTCCTATGTCCTCATGACAACGTGCCCTCCCACCCATTTTTATATCATCAGCAAATTTGGATACATAACATTCTAACTCTCCTCCAAGTCATAGAGTTGTATAGCACAGAAACAGACCCTTTGGTCCAACTCATCCATGCCGACCAGACATCCCAAATTAATCTAGTCCCATTTGCCAGCAAGGCCCATATCCCTCTAAAGCCTTCATATTCATATACCCATCCAGATGCCTTTTAAATGTTGTAATTGTACCAGCCTCCACCACTTCCTCTGGCAGCTCATTCCATACATGCACCATCCTCTGTGTGAAAAAGTTCCCTTTTAAAATCTTTCCCCTCTCTCCTTAAACCTATGCCCTCTGGTTTTGGACTCCCCTACCCTGGTGAAAAGACCTTGGCTATTCACCCTATCCATGCCCCTCATGATTTTATAAACCTCCATAACAACTATATATTTCTGTCTTAAATATACTCAATGACCCGGCCTCCACAGCCTTCTGTGGCAGTGAATTCCATAGATTCACCACTCTCTGGCTGAAGAAGTTTCTCCTTATCTCCATTCTAAAAGGTCTTCCCTTTACTCTAAGGCTGTGCCCTTGGCTCCTCGTCTCTCCTACCAATGGAAGCATCTTCCCAACATCCACTCTGTCCATGCCATTCAGTATTCTGTAAGTTTCAAAGTTGCATTTGCCTTCCTAACTACTGACTCAACCTACAAGTTTACCTTGAGAGAAACCTAGACTAGAACTCCCAAGTCTCTTTGCACTTCAGACTTCTGAATTTTCTCCCCATTTAGAAAATAGTCCATGCTTTTATTCTTCTTACCAAAGTGCATGACCTCACACTTTCCCACGTTGTACTCCATCTGCCACTTCTTTACCCACTCTCCTAACCTGTCCAAATCCTTCTGCAGCCTCACCACCTCCTCAATACTACCTGTTCCTCTACTTATCTTTGTATCGTCTGCAAACTTAGCCGCAATGCCCTCAGTTCCTTCATCTAGATCATTAATGTATAAAGTGAAAAGTTGTGGTCCCAGCACTGACCCTTGCAGAACACCACTTGCCACCGGCTGCCATCCTGAGAAAGACCCCTTTATCCCCACTCTCTGCTTTCTGCCAGACAGCCAATCTTCCATCGATGCTAGCACCTTGCCTTTAACACAGTGGGCCCTTATCTTACTCAGCAGCCTCCTGTCTGGCACCTTGTCAAAGGGTTGGTTTGCTCAGCTGGTAAGAGTGTAGTGTTAATAACGCCAAGGTCATGGGTTTAATCCCCATACTAACCAAGTCTGTAGGGTTCTAGCCATGATTTTTGAGGGGTGGCATTGTGGCACAGTGGCATGTGGTTAGCACTGCTGCCTCACGACGCCAGGGACCCGGGTTCAATCCCACCTTTGGGCGATTATCTGTGTGGAGTTTGCACATTCTCCCCGTGTCTGCGTGGGTTTCCTCTGGGTGCTCCGGTTTCCTCTCACAGTCCAAAGATGTGCAGGTTAGGTGGATTGGCCATGCTAAATTGTCCTGTAGTGCCCAGGGATGTGCAGGTTAGGGTGGATTGGCCATGCTAAATTGTCCTGTAGTGTCCAGGGATGTGCAGGTTAGGGTGGATTGGCCATGCTAAATTGTCCCATAGTGCCCAGGGATGTGCAGGTTAGGGTGGATTGGCCGTGCTAAATTGTCCCATAGTGCCCAGGGATGTGCAGGTTAGGGTGGGTTAGCCGTGCTAAATTGTCCCATAATGCCCAGGGATGTGTAGATTAGGTGGGTTATAGGGGGGATGGGTCTGGGTGGGATGCTCTGAGGGGCAGTGTGGACTTGTTGGGCCAAAAGGCCTGTTTCCACACTGTAGGGATTCTATGATAACATAACCCCTCAGCCTCCGATGCTCCAGGGAAAATAGCCCCAGCCTATTCAGCCTCTCCTTGTACTTCAACCCTGACAACATCCTTGTAAATCTTTTCTGAACCCTTTCAAGCTTAATGACATCCTTCCTATAGCAGAGGGAGCAAAATTGAATGTAGCGACTGAACCAATATCTTGCAATTAATAGATTGTAAATAATAGAGACCCTAGGACTGATAGTTGTGTCCCTCCAGTAATTTGAAAAAAGACCCATCATCCAGAAATTGTGTCCTCTGTGCGTTGACCGATCCTCGATTGATGCTAATACGTTAACCTCAACACCATGATCTCTTGTCTGGTACAATAGCCTTATATGGCATGTGTCAACTGCCGTGTATCTACTGGTGCAAAAACAAAGTTGCTGGAAAAGCTCAGCAGGTCTGGCAGCATCTGTGAAGGAGAAAACAGAGTTAACGTTTCGGGTCCGGTGACCCTTCCTCAGAACTCTGTGTCTACTGGTTCCTGTTTATCAACTCTTTGAGCTATACCGTCAATGAACTCCAGCAGATTTATAAAATATGATTTCCATTCACAAGACCATGCACATTCCAATTGCGTTAAACTTTTGTAAATGACGTGCTATTTGTTCCTCAATAATGGACTTTAACACTTTAGTAACCCAGAAGTTAAGCTAAATGTCCCTATAGATTTCTGTGTCCCACATTAGCTCTTTTCCAATCTGCTGGAACAGATCCTCAAATCCAGTGATTTCTGGAATATTGTCACCAATGACTCCACTTCCTTTAAAACCTTTGATACAGGTCATCAGATCCTGGCGAATTGTACGTCTTTGATGCCATCAATTTGTCAAATAATTTATCCCTTGTGAAAAAGATTGCGACAAGACCTTTCCAACCATTAGCTCCTTGCTTATCTGATATCTTTCGGATGATTATAATGTACCCCACTGTGAAGACCGATGCAAAATATTGGTTTAAATCATCTGACATTTCCATGCGTTACTTGGCATTATCTCAGTGAGAGGCAGCACCTTCAGGAACTGTATCCCAGTGAGAGTCAGCAACTTCAGGGACTGTATCCCAGTGAGAGTCAGCATCTTCAGGAACTGTATCCCAGCGAGAGTCAGCCCCTTCAGGAACTGTATCCCAGTGAGAGTCAGCACCTTCAGGAACTGT